AATTGTCTTTTTAAAAATAGAAAGTTTTCTAAAAGTGCATATTGTATAAATTCCCTGTGGGTTCGATATTCAGGTTTTAATCAAAAAGTCCTATATTACTTGATAACGATATGTATACTTACGTAGTATCCCAATATATATAAATTAAAAGTTAAATTCTTATTTTTCTTCGGGATCAAGTTTTTGATTTTGTTGTAAAGTAAGAAAATATAAGTGAAATAAAATCTAAATTATTGTTGTACTTTGTATATTAGCAGTATCAAGAGGGATCAAGTTTTTGGCGCCGTTGTCGGGGATTAAAATCTTCAAGTAGTGGTGTCAACTTCTTAAATTCTACATATAAAAAAGAATATCGGGATTAGTGATCGACGGTGATGGTCGACAGTGGCTGACGACCATCGACGGGTGTCGACGAATGTCGGCGGTGGTCGGCGATGGTTGGGATGGTGCTTAAATTTAGCTCATTCTTAAAGCTTCCAGTTCTCACTGAAGCTTCAAGTCTCTCCCCTCATGTGAGGGGTGTGACTCTATCTATAATGTTTTAGGTGTCATTAATGCATGAATATGAATCTTTTTTATCGGACGGTCCAGAGAGCTTCTCTAAATCAGACGGTGTTTAATGAAAATTTGGATGCCTAATGATAGAATTGAGTGATGGGCTCATTGGATTCGACTTGTCGAGATGCTCGATTCGACTATAAACTTGCAAGATTCGACTCCCGTATCTCCTTCTAAGTGTGTCTAGAAATCTTCCAAGCATAGTTTAATGGCTTGATCTGGGCTTGATTTGACTCGGATTTGACTGACTTCGATATCATTAGATTCGTCTCATTAAGCTGATTTGTTTGACTATAAGTTCGCTAAAATCAGAGCTCTGGGTGAGTTTTTATCATTATTTGAACATTCCTTGTGCAAAATATTATCTCGAGATCTATATCATGCTTCGAGATTTGTACCGGATAATCAAAGTTAGTTAGTGGTGTCTCAACTTGAAGTTCCCTTGTGAGAGCGAACTTTTATGTAACTTTCTTACATTTTTATATCGTATAACACCCAGTTTTATATACCTTTTATTACAGTAGCATCTCTGACACTTAAATGTTTGAATATTCTAAATAGAAGTGTACTGTCTCGTGTCAGTACTACGAAAATAAATAAATAATTTGATCTTTATTTAAGTTTCATTTATTTAATTTTTAAATACGTAACGGGAATTCGAGTTTATTTAATTTTAATTTATATGAATGTAATTCGGTCAGGTTAAAATTATTCAACAAATGCACTGATTCGTTTAAATCCTATTAATTCAAGACTTCAATCATTTCGCTTGCGTTGATCAGTTCCAGCTTCTGCATGCGTGATAATATATATTTATCTTTTGTAAATCCACTAAAAAGTTGTCTCATTATAGCCGGTTTTTGAAGCTACCATGACCCAAAATGGGTGAAATTATTCCATAGAGCAGTTACGCCGCTTTGCGTGCGAACTTTCAATAATATATTATCATGTAAAGGCTATTGAAGTGAAATTATGAAGATTATTGAGGGGTTATTAGGGTGTTATTATGAGATTATTGCAGGGGTTATGCAAGGTGCGAGGATTATTAGAGGGCTGCTGTGGTGTTATTATGACGTTCTTGTGGAGTGTAATCGTAGAGGTTATTTGAAAGTTATTGAGAGTATAACAACATAGATTATTGAGAGGTTATTATGACTTTATTAGAATTAATGCTCTAATAATCCTCTAATAACCCTCAATTACCCTGCCAATAACCTCCATATTTTCACTATAATAATGTTCGCGATAGCTGAACCCGATATAGCACACAGACCACATATTATTGTAGCCCGTACATAGTGTTGTGTAGGTGCTCTGTATGTAGTACTTTCTCCCTAAATGGAGTACATCACAGAAGAACGTTAAATAAAAACAAAATTATTATATATATATATATATATATATATTATATCCGAGGAGATTTTGGAGTTGGTTATGCCGCGAAATCGCCATCATCCCTCTCTGTTGTCCTGGGCAACGCGTCTCCTCTCCATTTCCTCCCATTCCAGGCTCTAATTCTTCTCGAAACCTTCTCTCCACCTCAATTCCATTCTCCTTCGCACTTCTGTTGAAATATTATACACATTTCATCGATTTTTGAGCTGCAATCGAATGATATCGCATTCCTTCATTCTCGCGAGCTGCATTGCGTTATTCGCTTTTCTCCCTTCCGATTTTGCCCACAACCATCGCCTTCGTGATTGAACCCTCGCACTAGCTGGAAAGGCAGCGAAGGGATCGCGACGTACAGAAATCACCGAAACTCTATCTTTCTCTTCTATTTGCTCCGCTCCTATCCAAAACCATTGAGGAAGGTAAGCCTGTTCGTGCCATTCTTTCTCTTGGGGTTTTTGCGGATTTACTAAATCTGGATTTACTAAATCCGCAGATTAACGAGATTTAGTAAATCCGGTAATTACTGATGAAATCCGCGAGATCTGGATTAGTAAAAGCTGCGGTTTTATTTTGTTCATACTGACGTCTGGCAAGATTTATCCAGGTTAAATCCTGGTATAAGACTTTGCAAACAGTCTTGAGGTTGCATTTGCGAGATCAATACTTATCATCTCCACGTTTTTCGAATTTGAAAATTGGAGCTGTGTGAATTCCATTTTTTCTTATCAACCTCCCTTCCCAAAAAATTCATCCTCATTCTGTGGAATTCTGTGGAAAGTTTCAAGTTTCTATCTTTAGAGTAGAATCGAATGCTGATCTCTGGCATTCTCTTGGTATTCTCTATACACCTGTGATTACATAGCTTTAATCCTTTCCTCTCATTACATTTGTGCAAGTAGGAAGGCATAGAAATTTCAAGGCTGTTAGAAGGATGATACGGGCGGAGAAGATTAGAGAGAAGCTCAGGCGAGAGAAGCTCCGATGGAGCAAGCTCTACACTTTCAGTTGCAGCCGAGCTAACCCTGAGCTGATTGATTCGGTTGATCCATTAATTGGCCTTCAATGTCCCAGTTTCTCCCGAAAGGTACATTGCAATCAACCCAGCCTCCACTGTCGGAAACATCTCCATTATCCATCCAATTACATTTCCACTACCAAGTATAACATCATAACCTTTCTCCCTAAAGCCATCTTTGAACAGTTTCGGCGTGTTGCTAATCTCTACTTCCTCCTCGCTGCCATCCTCTCTCTCACGCCCATTGCTCCATTCTCTGCTGTCAATATGATTGCCCCCTTAACCTTTGTAGTTGGCTTGAGCATGGCTAAGGAGGCCATGGAGGATTGGAGGAGGTTCACGCAGGACATGAAGATTAATAAAAGGAAGGTTTGTGCTCATAAGGAGGATGGGAACTTTCGTTACAAGAAATGGCATAGAATCTTGGTTGGTGATGTAGTTAAGGTTGAGAAAGATCAATTTTTCCCTGCTGATTTGCTTCTGCTCTCCTCGAGCTATGAGGACGGGATATGTTATGTGGAGACTATGAATTTGGATGGGGAGACAAATTTGAAGGTGAAGAGAGCACTAGATGTGACCTTGCCTTTTGATAATGAGAACTCGTTCAAGGATTTCTGTGCCACCATAAGGTGTGAAGACCCCAATCCTAGTTTATACACCTTTGTGGGAAATTTGGAGTATGAGAAGCAGGTTTATTCTTTGGATCCAAACCAAATTCTTCTGAGAGATTCAAAACTGAGGAACACATCTTACATCTTTGGAGTGGCTGTTTTCACTGGTCATGATAGCAAGGTCTTGCAAAACTCAACAGAATCACCATCAAAGCGGAGCAGCATTGAGAAGAAAATGGATTACATTATATACATTCACTTTACTCTACTTGTTTTAATTTCATTAATCAGCTCAATTGGATTTGCAGTATATACTAAGTTTGGAATACCGAATTGGTGGTACCTTCAACCAGAGAAAGCCTCCACTTTGTACAACCCATCAATGCCTACATTATCTGGCATCTTCCATCTCGTGACTGCTCTCATCCTTTATGGATATCTCATACCGGTTTCTCTCTATGTTTCTATAGAAGTTGTGAAGGTCTTACAAGCCATGTTTATCAACCAGGATATTCAGATGTATGATGAGGAGACAGGAAAGCCAGCACAAGCCAGGACCTCAAATTTAAATGAGGAGCTTGGGCAGGTTGATATAATCTTGTCTGATAAAACAGGCACACTTACTTGCAACCAGATGGACTTTCTGAAGTGTTCTATTGCAGGAGTGTCTTATGGTGTAGGCTCTAGCGAAGTGGAAATGGCTGCTGCAAAGCATATTGCCTCAGAGATCTCTGGTTCTCCTAGTTGGAATTGCTTCCCAGCAGATTATTGGGATAACAATGAGGATGACTCTTCAATAATTGAACTGGAGGGTGGCATTACCAGAAAGATTGAGAAAGATCCCATACCTAAGATAAAGGGTTTCAGCTTTAAAGATGACCGTTTACTGCAAGGAAATTGGGTTCAGGAACCAAATGATGGGGCCATTATAATGTTCTTCAGGGTTCTTTCAGTTTGTCACACAGCGATCCCCGAACATGATGAGGAAACTGGTAACTTCACATATGAGGCGGAGTCACCTGATGAAGGAGCTTTTCTTGTTGCTGCTAGAGAATTTGGCTTTGAGTTTTATAGAAGAACTCAGTCAAGCGTGTTCATACGAGAAAGCTATCCAAATCCTTCCGAAAGGTTAGAAATGTGATGATTGTTGATATTACAATATTTTATCTTTTCGCGAATTGTTCTGCTGAGATTCTCTTTTTTGGCAGGGAATTTAAGATTTTGAATCTAATGGAATTTAATAGTGAAAGGAAGCGCATGTCTGTCATTGTTCAGGATGAGACTGGGCAGATAATTCTTCTCTGCAAGGGTGCAGACAGGTTTGTTCTTTTTTATTTTTAATTATTGATCATCATTACATGTAAACTCTACAGCTTCTGCTACCATCAAAGAAAGAGAAATTAATGAAAGATCCACAACTTAATATGAATTGATCATTTTAGTTTTCTTATGTTTTAGGAATTTGATTAATTATAATTAGTCCTTCAAATGCACGCAGCATTATTTTTGATAGACTGTCAAAAAATGGAAAAATGTATGAAGCAGATACGATGAAGCATCTGAATGAATTTGGAGAAGCAGGCTTGCGCTCATTAGCTTTGGCATACAAAGTTTTAGATGAATCAGAGTATTCAACTTGGAATAAAGAATTTCTCAGAGCAAAGGCTGTCATTGGACCTGATAGAGATGCTCAACTAGAGCATGTTGCTGATATGATGGAGCAGGAATTAATCCTCATAGGAGCTACTGCTGTTGAAGATAAACTACAGAAAGGGGTAAGGATTTATTATCATTTTGTAATTTTTTCTTTTTTGCTTTTACCTCATCCATAATCATTTTTGTTTGTCAAAGGTTCCTCATTGTATAGACAAACTAGCACAGGCTGGTTTGAAGATCTGGGTTCTAACTGGTGACAAGATGGAAACTGCCATAAACATAGGGTATTTCTCGTTGACAATCAATTGGAGAAATTTCACACCTAGCTTTTTTTTTTCCCTTAACCCAAGTCATGTAAACGATAACAAAATATTGCTATTGCAGGTATTCTTGCAGCTTACTTCGTCAAGGAATGAAGCAGATATCCATATCAATAATGAATACAGATTTTATAGAACTAGATGCAAGGAAGGTGAGATTTTTTTTTTCGTGTTAAGTGTTGATAATCTCTACAGCATATTGCCAACGTTGTTGATTTATAGCAGGCTTTCCTTTCATGCTTGATGTTTGAACAGACTATTAAAGATAATATTTCGCTGCAAATCACCAATGCTTCTCAAATGATCAAGCTAGAGAAGGATCCTCATGCAGCGTTTGCTTTAATCATTGATGGGAAAGCCTTGAGTTATGCTTTGGAGGATGATATGAAGCATCATTTTCTTGGTTTAGCTGTTGATTGTGCTTCTGTCATATGCTGTCGGGTTTCTCCAAAGCAGAAAGCACTGGTATTTTTGTATTTAAATTGTGGCCATCATTGCTTTAGCAGAATAAAAAGTTAATCTATGTTTCAATCTTATTCTAGGTAACACGGCTTGTCAAAGAAGGAACAGGCAAAACTACTTTAGCAATAGGAGATGGTGCAAATGATGTTGGCATGATACAAGAGGCGGATATTGGCGTTGGGATTAGTGGAGTAGAAGGAATGCAGGTTCGTTCATTTGTTTTGTAATTTTGTTTTCTGAACAAATATCAGTTCCACAGTAGACATTTTTCTCTTTTTAGAACCCATATTTGAATTTCTGCCTTGCTTGATTCTAGGCTTTCAAACCAATCTATAATGTTTCGTGCTTTGTATAACTTTAATGTATGCTCTAGTTTTAGTTCAGTATCATATTATTTATGGGTTCTACAGGCTGTTATGGCTAGCGACTTCTCTATTGCTCAATTCCACTGGCTGGAAAGGCTTCTTGTCGTCCACGGCCATTGGTGTTATAAAAGGATTGCACAGATGGTAAGCAGCAAGATAATTATGGTGCTACAGCTTTTATACACAGCTCCCTGAACATGCAGTAAAATATCTTGGGAAAATTTACACACATACACACAGTGCTTATGTATTTTCATATCTCACACCTAAACTTTTCATATTTGCACCATATCTCTCAAATCTTTAATATCACATAAAAATGGCACTATTAAATATTTGAAAGCTATGGATGTAAATATGAAACTTTAGGTGTGAGATATTTAAATACATAAGAAGTTTGTGCTATGTATGTAAATGCCCCAATTATGTTTGAATTAATACTTCCCTGAACCTTTTTCATTTGAATGCAGGTGTGCTATTTCTTTTACAAGAATATAGCCTTCGGCCTCACTTTATTTTATTTTGAGGCATACACTGGCTTTTCAGGACAATCGGTCTATGACGACTGGTACACGATATTATTCAATATCATTCTCACATCATTACCTGTTATATTACTAGGAGTATTTGAGCAGGATGTGTCCTCTGAAGTATGCCTACAGGTTTGTTTCAGTCTATTAGCCGTTATATAAATTTGAATCAGAACAAGAATTGATATGAATAGCTAATTCTTTTACTACACAAGCTTTATTTAATTAGTGGTTTAACATGTCCATTGTAGTTCCCAGCTTTGTACCAGCAAGGACCCAATAATTTGTTCTTCAATTGGTCGAGGATCATTGCATGGACGGCGAATGGTCTCTACTCATCTCTTGTCTTGTTTTTCATCAACATCAGCATCTTCTATGACCAAGCGTTCCAGTCTGAAGGGCGAACTGCTGACATGGCTACCATGGGAACTACCATGTTCACCTGTATCATATGGGCCGTAAACTTGCAGATAGCCCTCACGATGAGCCACTTGACATGGATTCAGCATCTCTTTGTGTGGGTAAGCATCGGCACCTGGTATGTCTTCCTTTCCTGCTATGGATTGATGTCGCCGTTCATCTCCGGGAACGCCTTCCACATATTAATCGAGTCTCTCGGCCCGGCTCCAACATATTGGCTCACAACCTTCTTTATGGCGGTGGCGTGCAACATTCCTTACTTTGTTCAACTCTCCTACCAAAGATTGTTCCATCCACTGGACCACCATGTGATTCAGGAGATGAAGTACTTCAAAAAGGATATTACGGACGAGTGTATGTGGACAAGAGAGAGCTCAAAAGCGAGACAAGAGACCAAGATTGGGTTCACTGCCAGAGTAGATGCTAAGATCAGGCAACTGAAGGGGAAGCTCCAGAAGAAAGTTTCGTCATTGGGTGTGATTCCTTGAACTGCAGGGTTGGTCATTTGTTGTGCTTCTTGTTTGAGAAAAGCTAATGGCATGTTATTTTATTCATATCAATTTAATGCATAATCGTTGGGTTATAACTAATTTCTTGAACTCAAGTATTTAAGTATTCTAGCGACCTTCTTGTGGATTTTTTGTTGAAGTGTCTCCGTATAGAGCCCGAGAAGTTTTTGTTGGATAAACTTGAACCCTTACATGTAAAACCACTGCCGCTTCAATTTTTGGTCCTTTCAACATTGCGCGTGTATTAAAGTAAATGCTTATGGCCTTACTGATTTCTTCTTTTTTTTAATGATCTATGCATTTTTCATGTGAAAATTTTGTCTATATTTATTTATTTAATAATTTTGAATGCAAAGGTGTCCTATGGATCACACCCAAAGAACATAGCATTGGTCACATGAGTGGAAGAGAGAGAGAGAGAGAGAGAGAGAGAGTATAGGGAACAATAGCACAAGTTCTCTTTGAATGCATTCAATAAACGCTTCTTAAAATGATGGCCTCCTATTTATAGATCATAGTGGGTGTTCTGTAAGCTACATATTTGTCCCTATTTTAATAAGGATATTACAAATAATATTTCACTGTTTCACTTTCACATCTTTGTAATTGATTCCAGGATCCTTTAACATTCGTAGTTGTTGTTGGCACCGTTTCGTGTTCATAATTATTTAAAAGAGAGTATTAGTGACTCAATGATGCTAGCATCTGGTCATCTTATAACCATTTGGTCGGCTATAAGGTCTTCGATCAGCCTTCTGGAAGGAAATCCCCGTAGAGGCCTCCTTATCATTAAGTTGAACTTAGACAATCGGGCAGAGGGTGCATCACCATAATCTGATGAACAACTCTAGTTAAGATAAGTGGTATTCACAGAAGGTTGGAAAGGTGCTCTAGATAGCAACCATTGGATCAATTTGCGAATGATCTCATAATCGATTGAGGGAGCTGATTACACACAATCATGCCTTAGATCGGGTGCCTAATGTGCCTTCCCTCGACTGTACTTACTTTTGGTCGGCTTATGATTCCAATTGAATGAAATGATGTTTGACACTTCTATTTTTTAACTGTTTCAATGCAATATTTTGATATATTTTTAATAAGGTCTATCAAATAATTTCGAAATTCGTGTGGTCATACTTTTTATATAATATTTAATTTCAAGATTTTCTTACTTTTTTGAAAGTAAGAAGTGTAATAAAAATAATATAAATAAATGAAGCACTTTATTTATTTTTTGTGTAATAAGCACTTTCAAATATTATACTCCCTGAATTTTTGTGCAGAATTCCCTACAAATGGAGAAATATTTGCATACAAAATAAGCACGCAGCTCTGCGTGTGTACTCCATTAACATGCAATACCCTCGTATTAACTTATGAATAACATCAAAATAGAACCTGCGAAGGTTATTGGAAGGTTATTGGGGTTATATGTTAATGAAATTAATACCTTAATAACCTCTCAATAATTTTCTAATATCCGCGAAGTGAAAATTATTGGAGGTTATTCCACATGCAGCTCTGCGTGCATTGTCTGCATGCAAATATTTCCCGTATAAATGGGGTGTAATCAGCACTTTTCCATCATCATTTCCGGATTATCTACTTTTTATTAAGTTTTAACAGAGGATAGTGGTGGCTAGTGGGAAAAATTCAACAAACGAGGAGGATATGTTGAGATCCTTCGGGCTTTCAACTGATAAAATTCGCCCTCACACATGCGAAAAAAAAAAAATAAATTTGAGAGCACTCGATCTACTCCTAAGAAGAAATCTGCAGAGGAGAGTCGACCGACAAGAAAGAAGTCGAAAGGTGAAGAACGAAACGCCAACGGAAAAAGGCCAGCAAAAGGGATTTGATCGAATGGGACCAAGTTTATAAAGCTGGCGTTGATGAAGAAGCAAAGGGTGAAAGAGACAGTCGAGCATCCAACTCGTTGCCACTTCTTCGGGTGGGAGTATAATAGGTGTGTGCATCACCGATGCACTAGTCCTAGCCTCGGATCCGCTTTAACAGCTTCTGGCTCAGCCACCAGCATAGCAGCATGTGCAGGCGGCTGTGACAACATAGATCCCACCGCACAACAGCGTTGCTCTACTGCCTTCGGTGAGTGAAGCTAGCCAACCTAGCATTTTACTGCCCATCGGCGAAAGTCTCCGTACATCGGAGATCTAGAGATTAATCTATATAAAAAAAATTCTTCTTAAAAGGTTGGTTTATTTCTTATTATGCCGACATTTTATTATTTTTTCATATGAAGCAATGTGAATGTTCGATTTCCTACCGAGAAAAGTCTGCCAACCACATGTTCTAGGGAAGTTCGCCGAACCTTCTGCTCTGGATCCAATTGGATGTACCCTTAACCATTTTTTGGCCTTGGTGGAAGCCGATAAGGAGACTGACGAATGGCAAGATTCCCTTGAGTTGTTGGTCTGTCGTATGGTTGAAACGGTCGACTCCTTTGCTTGGGCAACCAGCCTCTAGAGGTAGAATTCCATATTGGACCTAATGGAGGAGCTGAAAGTCCTTTATGCAGATATGGTGAACCTCCAGACTAAGGGGTGGCCCTTTGGATTGAGCTTGCGGAAGTCCAGCTTACTAGCTTTATCTCCTGGGTTCAAGCGAAAGAAGTGTGTATAGAGAAATTTAAGTTTGGGGGTCATACATTGCATTCGAGTCTTGTGAGTTGGACTTTGATGCTGCTCGGGGCAGCTAATGATCCTCAATAATGTCAAATTTAAAAAAAAAATCATCATTGTGAATTCTCAATTTCTGCACTGATTGATGTGGATTTCGAAAGTCTGGCATACGAATTCGGGACGTCTAGAATTCCCTTGATATCCCACATATATGGCTAAATAGAAAAATAGAGTTGCATTAATCATTTCCACTCCTTTCTCCTTTTGGTCGATTTTTTCTAAGAGCTCGATGACCTCCAAATATTCTCCCTAGCTATTCGGTTTGCTGAGGGTGACTAAGCGATCAACCTTAACATCATTCAATGTGGAGTAATTAGATGACACTTGTGTGTGTGACACAAGTGTCGTGCTCGAGCAGGTTAAGCCATAGGTTAGGGCAACCGATTACATAGCTGACGACTTGATTTTCTACCTAGACTAGGGGTTTAAGCAAGACGAATCAAGCTCAAGCCACCCTCAGTTTGAGCTGGAGCTTGATTATTTTTATCGAGTTTGACCTCGAGCTTGAGCTTTAAGTCCACAAGTTTAAGCCGGCCAAGGAGTCGGGTTTTCTATTATAAAAGAGAAAATATTAATTTAAGGTGGTGTTATAAGAAAATGATTAATAGAGAGATCAATTAGAAGATAAAAAATTAAAAAAAATCACTTGAAATTAAATACAATATATTATTTTTAAATAAATTTTATTACTTCAAAGATAAATTCTTCAAATTTAACACATTTTGAGTATATTTTATGTTAATATTTTCTTAAATGATCCAGCTCATGTGCTAACTAGTCGAGTTAGGGCTACCTTAAGCTTGGCTTGTTAGATCATCAAGCTCCATTCATGAGCCACTTATCGAGCTGAGCTCAAGCCGGATCACGAGTCATCTTGACTCACTTACCTAACTAGGACCAATTTTGATGGGTATCCAATCGATATTGAACCACTATGGAGTTATCCTCGTCCAAATCTAGATGAACTCAATCGCGATGGTGATGATTTACGTGGTTTACTTGTGTCAGATGGAGATTTCTAGGTCTCAAAAGCTTTTCTCCAACGTTCTCCTTTAGGGTGGTACCGGATGGGTATGTTATCTTTGGCTCGGCCCGCAAGTTCAATCTAATAGACTTGGAGAAGAAGAAAAAAAATTGGAAGCTTCAATTTCTTCAAGGGTCTAATGAAAATATGGGGATCTCCACTATGTTAACCAGAGGCCCATACAAGAAGAAGAAGGGGCTTCTACCTCGACTCAAGGCACTCGAGTCAGTTTCCTTAGGAAACATATGTCAGTGATTCATTATACTTACCCCATGATTGTTAATCGAGTGCTAAACTGTGCAATGTATGGTCCTACGACAGTTGTGTTGTTGGTCATTTCCATTGAAGCAGAGGAAAATAGGCAAGTTGATAAGGCTGCAAACTTTTCGAAGAAAGAGATGAGAAAGATAAAGAGAAGAGGCGCTTCTTAAAGATTTGAGCTCAAGAAGAGGAAGAGGGTGACTCTACAAGAGGAAAAACCCTAGGTTTGAAACTAATACACTTTGTTTTCAAAACTTTAGTTGTTATTTAAAATGAAATGACAACTGTTTGAACAGAAACCATCCATATTTAATAAAAAAGAACAAGAAGCTTCTCGACAATCAACATCGGGCCACATTCATCTATCTGAAAGAGCGGAAGCCAGTCGACTGTCTCCTCGATCCTTAGCAACACCAATTAATCATGTCAAGATGATGAGTTTGGTATAATTCTCAAGAGAAGAGGAACTCGAGCCGGCCGATGAGGCAAGGCTCCGACTTATGATTTTGACACGTCTCTTACCTTGCCTCCCAAGAAAAGGAAGGGGGCAAAGGTTGTTAAAGTCCATTACTAGAGAAACTACCAAAGGTCATTCTCAATTCAGACTCCAGCTTCACTCTAACAAAAGTTGAAAGGGATTGGTTCTGTTTGACTCCGAAAGAAAGCCAAATAAACTAGGATCATCGTAGGCAACCTTTTGTCCGCAAGTTTTGTGAAGCATTTGAATAAATTTCGGCTATTGAAAATATTTTATTTGGTTGATCAATTTTAGCTACTCGGTTGTACTGCAACACATCACTTAACTTCCCTTCACCTGAGCATGAGAGATAAGCTTTGAAAGGCAAATCAAACACAAAGGAGTTGAATGCGTGAGTAGGTGTTATAACAAATCGGAAGGCCAAGGCAGAGGTAGAGGCAGAGGTAGCGATTCGACTGTAGGTTACAAAGGCAGAATTTGAGATAGTATTTGAGGGTTTCTGCCAAGAAGAAAATGTCAAACTGATGGAGTAGGTGGGCACCATGAAGACAATTGATGAATTTCTTTAACCTCAAGTGGTTCACTTGGAAGAGGGTAAGTGAGTGACGATCGACCAAATCATAACATTTGTTGAAAAGTTAAAGAAATTATTCAATGCTCCCTCAGTGTTAGAACATCAAAAGGAGTCAAAGTCTGATAATGTGATGGACGGTGGATCTGTGATCCCAGTTGAATATAGTTGTGTAAAATTTATAAAGTTGACTCCGCTTTACAACGTTGCCAAAAATTTGATG